TCTAATGTGTATATATTCCACACTTTCTTCATCCATTCTTCCATTGAAGGGCATCTAGGTTGTTTCCAGGTTCTGGCTATTACAAATAATACTGCTATGAACATAGTTGAACAAATGCTTTTGTCATATGATAGGGCATCTCTTGGGTATATTCCCAAGAGTTGTATTGCTGGGTCCAGAAGTAGGTTGATCCCGAATTTCCTGAGAAACCGAAACACTGGTTTCCAAAATGGTTGCACAAGATTGCATTCCCACCAACAATGGATGACCCTTCCTCCACAGCCTCTCCAGCAAAGGCTATCATTGGTGTTTTTGATTTTAGCCATTCTGACAGGTGTAAGATGATATCTCAAAGTTGTTTTGATTTGCATTTCCCTTATTGCTAAGGAGGTTGAGCATGACCTTAAGTGTCTTTCGGCCATTTGAACTTCTTCTTTTGAGAATTCTTTGTTCAGTTCAGTGCCCCATTTTTTTAATTGGGTTAATTAGCATTTTAAAGTCTATTTTCTTGAGTTCTCTATATATTTTGGAGATCAGACCTTTGTCTGTTACGGGGTTGGTGAAGATCTTCTCCCAGTCAGTAGGTTGCCTTTTTGTATTCTTAACACTAACCCTCTGTCATATACTTAGCTTAGCTGATAAAGATTTTTCCAATCTTTAGGAAACCACATTGCACAGTGTTATCTTTTTCTCTAGAGAAGCTTTTGATTCACTTGGACATGTGTAATAATTGTTAGTCTTTAAGACTTTGCTATCCAGGTTCTGTATCTCAAATCCTTTCTTGTGCCAATAAGTTCAAGTGTATTCCCCATTTTCTCCTTAACTAGTCAGGATGCAAGGACTTATGTAAAGGTTGTTTAATTATTTGGAGTTGAGTTTAGGGTGTTCAGTGGCCTATTTATCCATTATCTTTCCAGCTTGCCATTCTTCCATTTTCCAGCTCTTCCTGAACTCATATCACATTTACATCAATCCATCCATCCATCCATCCATCCACCCACCCATCCATCAATCTATCCATTCTCCTACTTATTCATTTGGATTTCCTTTGTTTCTTCTCTCTCCTCCCTTTATGCATGATTGTGCTCATTCACTTATTCACATTCTTTGATAAACCTAAACTAATGTCCAGTTTCTATTTCATGCTTTATTTCTTCTTTTTTCTTCATACATTCATACACACATTCACCTTCTATTAGACTCATCCCTGCCTATATATCCATATACTCACAACCTGTGTGATCACCCACTCTTCTGTCAGCTACTACCTATGTACCTTTCTGTCCATTTAGCTGTTTATATACCTGTGTCCTCCATTTGGCTTTCAGTGAATTCAAATACCAGTCCACTCATGAATCCGTGCATGCAGTATCTATCTATTTGTTGATGGAGGCTGCTTGTTGATTCCTGGCTACTCAGCCCCGAAATCATCACGTAGAAACTATATTATTTAAATCATTGCTTGGCCCATTAATTCTAGCTTCTTATTGGCTAACTCTTACATATTAATTTAACTCCTTTCTATTAATCTATATATTGCCACGTGGCTGTGGCTTACCAGCTAAAGTTCCAGTGTCTGTCTCCGGTGGGGCTATATGGCTTCTCCTGACTCCACCCTTCTTTCTCCCAGCATTCAGTTTAGCTTCCCTGACATATGTATATTCCCTGCACAGGTCCAAGATAGTTTCTTTATAAACCAATAGTATTCACAGCATACAGGGAAATCCCACATCATTCATTCATCCATACATCTATCCATCTATTCAATACTCATCTACTTATCCATATAATTATGGTATAATCTGCACATTCATCAATCAAAACACACACATACACACACTCATACTATTTTACCTATCAAGTTTATTCACTTTGTTGTCCTTTCTTCTCTCCTTTCTGGTATCTCTAAAATTCCTTTTGAATTATGTAATATTTTGGTCCTCCTTTTATAAATTCTTCCATCTATCCATTCATTTATCCTCTATATATTTTTTAAACGTGTTAATTAAATTTTTTATTCATTTTACATTGCAACCACAGTTCCCCCTCTCTCCATTCCCCCTGCTCCTGCCATGTCTCTCCTAATCCATCCCCCATCCACTCCTGTAAAAAGGAAAGGTCCCCATAGGGTATCAACAAAGCCTAGCAAATTAAGTTGAGGGACCAAAGCTCTTCCACCAGCATCAAGACCGAACAAAACATCCCACCATAAGAAATAGGCTCCAACAAGCCAGTTCATGCCCCAGGGATAGATTTTGGTCCCCCAGCCAGAAGCCTCTCAAATATACAAAGCTACACAGCTCTCACACCTATTTGTAGTGATCCTAGTTCAGTTCCCATGCAGGTTCCCCAGCTGTGGGTCTGAAGTCTGTTGAGTTCACATGAGCTAAGGTCAGCAATTTCTATGGATTAACCCATCATGATCTTGACGCCCCCTTGTTCATATAGTCTCTACTCCCTCTGTTTTCCTAATTCATCTGTGTTCTTTTCTCATTCTTTATGCTGATTTTTTTATCTCAATATCTTCAGTCAATTCTGGTCATAGTACAATTCACTACTCCACACATAGTCACTCTTCAGTTTAGTTCATGGTTCACCTACAATTGGTTGTTCTGCCTCTAATCATAGCTAGAAAAATTTCTCACTATGGACAGCCTTGTTGTGTTTAGAAGGGAATTCTTCCTGAGCTGAATCTCTAGGATGAGTAAGAACAATACAGATAAATGAAGCATTAAATGTTCTTGGAAATGAGAATTTCATCAATGACAATCCTTTCCACAGCTTGTGAGCCAGCCACCACTTCCCTACCTTCTCCATCTGCATCTCTACAACCAGAACCTGCCACAGGTTTCTAGGGATGCCATCGCCTGCATTTGATTATATCCCCTACCTCAAACTTCCACCCCTGCCTTCTAAATAGAGCTAGAAAACCATGTTGCAAAGATGCTAGTGTCAGGGTCATCTTCATATGCGCAAAAATCAGGCTAACAATCAAACCAGGTACTTGCCCACATGCCGCCAAATGGCATGTGAGACAAATAGACAAATAGGGGAAGAATTTCTGAGGAAAATTCCTCCTGAAATAACTATCCAGATGAGTGCATATGATCCAGATAAAGGAAGCATAGAGTGTTCCTGTGAGGATTTCAATAAGAGGGCTCAGTGACCAGAAAAAATAGAGTAAATGGAAGGAATTTGATTTGCATGAATGATAATGTTTAACATGCAATGCAGCCTATATATGTCCTCCTTAGCACCTACTGGGTCATAGTGGTAGGCTCAGGGTGGATGTGTAAATGAGAATGAAAATCACTGGGAGATGAATTGAATGCCATTGTAGGTTGCATTCTTTTGCTGTGATAGATGTTATAGTCTAAAGCAACTTGAGAATGTATGAGTTGTTTCAATTTATGGGTCCATGTTACAGTCTACACTTAATGCAAACCAACTAAAAATTCAAGGCAAGAAACAAGAGCAATGGCCTAAAGCAGACCACGGGGGAACAGTGATTCCTGGCTTGCATTCAGTCTCATGTCAGCTCCCTTTCTTGTTCATCACAAGCCTACATGCCTGATAGTGGTGTTTCTTATAGTGGACTGGATCATCTACATGAAATAGCATTAAAAATGTCCTGTATATATGTGTACAGGTCAATGTGATGAAGTAATTACTCAATTCTTATCCCCATTTGTGACTTTTTGACAAGCAATACTAGCCACCACAGGTGTCAAATCTTCAATTGCATCCCTGACACTGAAAGTACACATGAAACCTAGGTGGTTATGCACTATGGATCATCCTGGTGTGAGTTTTCATTTCAGAAAGATGCTCCTAGTGATCCAGATAGAGAACATCTATACACATTGTAACCAATGAGTTTGCAGAAGACTGTGCTGTCATAAGACCTGTGCTAGAATGAAGAGAGAATTAATGTGATGAATGCTAAGAGAAGACAATTTGTGTGCTGTGGGGATAAGAAGTTGTGTTGGTTCTGACTTGAATGGACATTTTCAGATGTAGTGGGAGAATAAAAGAGAAGCCAAACTGGTGAGAACAGGATTTTAATCTGGCATCAAGCACATTCTCAGTTGTATCTCTTCTCTTCCTGCAGCTATAGGACACCATCTAAAAACCCTCACAATCAACTTCACCTTAACCAACCTTCCATATTCATCAAATATGAGCAATGCCTCAGCTCTGTTCAGCTCAACTGAGAGTGTCTTCCACTACCTGGTGAGAACCTTATCCCAGCAGCCTGACAGAGATCGATCCCATATCACTCTTTGTCCAACATCTGCTTTCATTTCCCTTCTCCTTCCCTATCCACAGCTTGGACACGTGTTCCAGAATGACTCCTTCAACACCAGTTGCAGATTGGATTCCCTCCAGTGAGTCTACTTTCTGTCCCTTTGCAAGGAATGAACACTGCTCTTGTTACCATTCTCATTCCCCCTCCTTTCTTGTTCTGATCTACATTAAGACTTTTCTAAAGGCTCCACACTCCTCTCTTTCCAGGCCTAAGAAGAATGGAACAGCCACTGGTGTGGATGCCATCTGTGCCTACTACCATGACCCTGCACATCCTGGGATAGACATCAAAGAGCTGTACACAGAGCTGAGAAATCTAACTCAGGAAATCACCCATCTGGGTAACTACTCCCTGGACAAGGACAGTCTATATGTCAATGGTGAGTGTTCTCTGTGGTTTGCTATGGGATGTCCTAGGCATCCTTTATTTTTCTTACCTCTCTCAATATTATTGATAGTACTGTCTACACCAGTTAATTCTATTTTCTTAGTACCTTGTTTCAAGAATCCAAGAAGCACAAACACAAACCTGGCAAGGAAATATGGGTGTTAGGTTCATATTAATCCTTTCCTTTGTTCTTCCTTCTGTTTTTCATTCCTCTAACATGCCTACTATTTCATAGGTTATAATGAACCTGGTCACGAAGAACCTTCTACAAGTAAGTACCAATTTAGCCTGACCTAAATCTTGGTCCATATATTTTCTGCTCATTTTCAATGAAGAAATTGCCCAAATATAAACTTCAGAGAGTCTAAGGTCTCAATGGAAGCAAGATACAAAGCCATTGGTCTCTTCTTGAAACTCAACTCTAACGTTGAATTGTTGAATTTTTGAATTTCCATGTTCTTCTCCGTTGGATAAAAGTATTTGTACAATGTAGCTAACAGAATTATGGATCTTAATTTAGATGACTACTGTGTAATTTATGTCCCCTAAAAAGAAGTATCCCCATCCAGAACTTTATTATTAAGCTGCAAATTTTGATGACTAATTTAGTGGTTTTTTTAAATTTTCCTTCTCTCTTGTATATTTTCTAATTTATACTAGTTCTCTTTAAATATTATACCAAGAATTTGTGTTGCTCTTGCATCAGTGAATATGCGTTACCAGAGCAGTCATTGTTGTAATTAAAAGCATTAGCAGTTGAGCAAGATTGTTAATAGCTTATCTCCTCCAGTAGCATGCATTGCACCTTCCAGCACTCTGAAACCTAGCCAGAAAGGCTGAAACTTCCAGCTGAGTGTCAGTTTACCTGTCCATGTGCTGTGGCTCAAGTGCCTGGTATCTTCAGCAATATGAATCTAACCAAGAAGTCCTGGAGGGTAACCCAATGCAATGGTAATAGGCAAAACTGTTTGGAAGTCACTGGTACATCACTTCTCAACAGCTCGAAAAGGAATAATCCATTCCTAGTGCTGGATGCTTATTTGTCATCCAGTGGTGTCTAGTGGGGCATTGCTGCCACATTATATAGCAGCTCCATTTAGACTCCTTCTTTGTGTGCATGCATATACTTTAGGAAACTGTTAGCATTAGAGTTCGTCACGATAATTTGTGATTTACTTCGTGTTCATTATTCCTGTCTGTATTCCCCTTCTACCTACTCACTTGACTAGGTACCTCCTTCCCCATCTTGTCCTTCCAATTTTCTCATTCCCTTTCCCCCTTAATGTCACCATATACTATCAAATGAAATATATACATCTAAAGATTCAAAATCAACGTCTACAAATGATAGAAAATGTACAACTTCTTCTCTCTTACTCCAGGTTACTTCACCCATAATGATTGTTTTCAACTACATCCATTTACATTCACATTTCTTAACTGTTTCAATTTTATTTAAATTTCTATGTGATTTATTTTGTTCATGTGTTTCTGTCTGCCAGCTCCTTTCAGTTCCTTCCCACTTCCCTACTCATACAACTTCATGTTTTCTCTCTCTTTGTTTTTCTCTCCATCCCCCAAGTCCTCAAAAGACAAAAATAAATTTCAAACAAACATACAAAAATCAAGAAGACATATAAATTCAAAATGGAAGAAAATGAAACAAAATCTCATACCAAATTAAAAACTGAAAAAAAAATAAGGTGTCCATTTTCTGTTGTTCTACTATTTCTGGGCCTGTCAGCCATCCTGCTCTGAATGTGGTTATACACCTAGTGACACTCCTTTGGTGAAAATTAATTTTCCCTTTCTTAGCTGGTCCTTATTGCAAACAGTTTCTTGGTTAAGGGTCTACTTCCATGTTTCAGTTCTGTAATTTCCTCATTTGAACTTTCCAACTCAAAGCACTGAAGATGACTCTATGGATACAGTGTCTTCCAGATACAACAGGACTGGTACACAGATGAACTCACAGAGACTGTGGCAATTGTATTGTTGTTACCAGCTTAAAAATATTGTTGAAATGTACCATATTTTTATTATCTGTCCACTAGTTGGTGAACATCTAGACTGTTACAGTTTGCTAGATATTATAAATAGAGCAGCAATAAACATGGGCATGACTGTCTTTCAATAGCAATGTATGGACTCCCTTGAGTGTATGCCCCAGAGTGGTAACATTGGATTTTATAGTAGATCTATTTCTAACATTTTAGGAATCTTTACAGATATTTCTGTAGTGGATACAGCCCAAATAAAAGTGAATAATTATTCCTGTTTCCCCACATCTGCCAGCACTTGAAATCCTTTTATTCTTAGCCATTATGAAAAAGATATATGAAATTTTAAAGAAGTTTTAAATTTTTTACTGATACATGATATGTTGATCATATTTTTAAAAAATATTTCTACACAGTTTGTATTTCATTTTGTGAGAATTATAGGACCCATGCCACAATTTATATTGGTTTATTTTCTTCTTGGATAATTTTTAATTTATTTGTATATTCTTGACACTAACCTTCTGTCAAATATATAGCTGATAAATTTTTTGCCATTCGGTAAGAAGCCACTTTGCTCAAACAATGCTATCTTTTTCTCTAGAGAAGCTTTTTACAAAAACTTTAAGACTTTGCTATCCATGTTCTGTCACAAAAAATTTTCTTGTTCCAAGAAGTTTAAGCATATTCCCCATTTTCTCCTCAACTACTTCAAGGTGCCAGGACTTATGTAAAGGTTACATAATGATTTGGAGTTGAGTTTAGGCTGTTCAGTGGCCTCTCATCATTACTTTTCCAGCTGTCCACTCTTCCATCTATTCCTGCACTCTTCTCACTTTTCCATCAATCCATCTATCTATTGAACCATCCATCCATCCATCCCTCCATCCATCCATCCACCCATTCTCTTACCTCTTCTTATGTATTTCATGAGTTTCTTCTTTTTCTCCTTCCTTTTTGCATGATTCTCTTTATTTACTCATTCACATTCATTGACAAACACAACTACTGTCCATATTCCAGGTCATACTACTTTTTCTTTATGCATTCATACATGCATCCACCTGATCTTTTATCAGGCACATCTCTCCTTATATATTCGTATATTCACTATCTGTATGATCACATGCTCTTCTTTCAGCTACTATATATTATTCAGTCTATTAGGTTTTTTTTTACACACCTTTGTCTTCTATTTGCTTAGCTTTTAGCATCCACTTTCTCTCTTTTATTATTCTGTGAACTCACATACCATTCTATTCATGTATCCATGCATGCAGTGCTTATCTACCCATCCATCCACCTACCCATCTATTCAATTCTCATCTACTCATCTATATTAGAATGCTATAATCTNCATTCACTTAGTTGTTCTCTCTCCTCTCCTATCTTCCACCTAAACAAGATTTTTTTTATTTTTATTGAATTACTTTGGTCCTCCTTTTATGTATCTTTCCTTCTATCCATCTATTTTTTTATATTTTCTATTCTCCTAATTCTTCTGTGTTCTTTACTCAAACACTATATCTCAAAATCTCAAGTTAATTCTGGTCATAGTAAAATTCACTTCTCCACACACAGTCACTCTTCAGTTTAGCTCATGGTTCATCTGTGAATGATTTTTTTTTTGCCTCTAATCATAGCTAAAAAAATATTTCTCTCACTATGGACAGTCTTGTATTTAGAAAGGGGAAGGTTTTCAGAGGAAAATTTTATCCAGAGCTGAAACTCTAGGATGCATAAAAACAATCTAGATAAATGAAGCATGAGGTGTTCTTGGAAATGGGGATTTCAGCAATGACAATCCTTTCCACAGCTCATGAGCCAGTCACCACTACCCTACCTTCTCCACCTGCATCTCTGCAGCCAGAACCTGCCACAGGTAAGTCTGGATCCCATTGCCTGCATTTGAATAGATCTGCCTGTCTTCCAGATAGAGCTAGAAAAAGAGTATGTGAAATGTCAGGGTCATCTTCATATGTGCAAAGATCAGAATTACAAGGCACATGCCTGGTTGTAATGCTGTTCATACTTTACTGGTTCTTCTACATCAAATAGCAAAACAATAAGTCATATAGATAAGACCATTGACAGTCTGATGGAAGCAATTCTTCAATTTGTATACACACGTGTGACTACATGATAGCCATATTAGCCACCACAAGTGTCAAATCTTCAACTGCACTTGACACTGAATGTACACATGGGACCATGGGTAGTAATGTACTATAGATCATCCCAGTGTGAGTTTTCATTTCAGAAAGATGATCCTCTTGTAGTTCTAGTGTAAAGAACATCTTTAGACATTGCATCCAATGAGTAGGCAAGAAGTATATGCTGGTCATAAGATAATACCTGTGCTGAAATGAGGAGAGAATGAATGTGAGGAATGCTAAGAGAAGACAATTTGTGTGCTGTGGAGTTAAGAAGCTGTGTAGGTTCTGACCTGATTGGACATTTTGAGATCGGTGGGAGACTGAAAGAAAAGCCAAACTGAAGAGACCAGGATTTCTCTCTGGCAGCAAGCAAACTCTCAATTGAATCTCTTCTCTTCCTGCAGCTATAGGACACCATCTAAAAACCCTCACAATCAACTTCACCATAACCAACCTTCCATATTCATCAAATATGAGCAATGGCTCAGTTCTGTTCAGCTCAACTGAGAGTTTCCTCCACTACCTGGTGAGAACCTTATCCCAGCAGCCTGACAGAGATCGATCCCATATGACCCCTTTGTCCAACATCTGCTTTCATTTCCCTTCTCCTTCCCCATCCACAGCTTGGACACGTGTTCCAGAATGACTCCTTCAACTCCAGTTGCAGACTGGATTCCCTCAGGTGACTCTACTTTCTGTCCCTTTGCAAGGAATGAACACTGCTCTTGTTACCATTCTCATTCCTCCTCCTTCCTTCTGGTTCTGATCTACATTATGACTTTTCTAAGGGCTCCACACTCCTCTCTTTCCAGGCCTAAGAAGAACGGAACAGCCACTGGTGTGGATGCCATCTGTGCCTACTACCATGACCCTGCACATCCTGGGATAGACATCAAAGAGCTGTACACAGAGCTGAGAAATCTAACTCAGGGACTCACCCTTCTGGGTAACTACTCCCTGGACAAGGACAGTCTTTATGTCAATGGTGAGTGATCTCTGTGGTTTGATATGGGATGTCTCAGGCATCTTTTATTTTTCCTACCTCTCTCAGTATTATTGCTAGTACTGTCTATACCAGTTCATTTTATTTTCTTAGTACCTTGTTTTTAGAATCCAAGAAGCACACACACAGAGCCTGCAAAAAGTACGGTTGTTATTTTCATATTGTGTACAAAGTCAGGAACCAGAGGGATAGGAATGTGTTTGCTGAGCTTCCTTTCTACTTCTATTTGAATCCAGGAGTATATTACAGTGTTTATAGTAATCACATTTTTATACTGGTTTTTCTATTCCAATTAACAATATGTAGACTCTTGCTTGCAGATATGTCCAGAATATTGTCAGTTCAATGACTCTATGCCTCATCAATTTATTTTAATCATAATAGGCTAGGATATGGGTAAGGAGATATAATGTATCTATATTACTCAGAATTTAATAAAAAGGCAAATAAAGCATAGAACTGAAAAGGCATTTGCCTGTTTCTCCACTGAGTTTGGAGCACTTGATGTTGTATTATGCTGCGTTTATATTCAGTCTGTTTCACAAAGCCAGTGAAAGGATTTGTATACAATTTCAACCCTCTTTTTATTTTCTATTCAGCAGTTTATATAAACCTTATTTGTTAGAAAGAACAAATAACTTTCATCCGTATCTTTTCCTAATAGAAACTGCAATGGGACACACACTCTTTTTGTTTGTGTGTAATCATCATCATCATCATCATCATCATCATTATCATCATCACCCTCATTTATTCCATGACAATGCTTAAGCTTGCATGGACAGCCCATTTGTGGCAGTTCTCTGGTTGTTCCTATACTGGGCAGTCTTAGATGCTTGTGTTATTGTCATACCCAGGGTGCCACAGTCTTCCTTTATGCTGTCTATTCAACAATTTTGGGGCCTTCCTGTTTGCCTTATCCCGTGCACTCCTCCAAGCAATGTTATCTTTGGGTATCTGTCATCTCTCATTCTCATAACATGGCCAAAGTATCTAAATCACTGTTGCATATTCTGTATTTACTTACTTCTGTAGATGGAGATGTTTCTTAATGTCATTGCTGCACACCCTATCTCTCCATATGAAACCTAGAATCCTGAGAAATGCCATCTCAAACACATTCAGCTGCTGTTCGAAGAAGGGTTTCACTGTCCAGTTTTCAGAGTTATAAAGAAGACAGCTAAAACTTGTCTCATATGCTTGTAATTTTGTTGTTGTTATTTATTTTGTTGACCAAACCCTTCTTAATGCCTGGAATATAGCCCCCTCTATTCCTGTCTGCCTCTTGAGGTCTGAAATGGTTCTCTCCTTTGAATCTAGGTAACCTCCCAAATAGACATAGTTGACTGTTTGAAATTTTGATTCTTTATTACAATGTTGAAATCCTGTGTGCCCTTCTCAAGTTTTGTCTCTCTGCCTTCTCCATGTTTACTTTCATATTAAGTTTTTCACTTACTTCCACCACTCTATTTACCATGACCTGCAGCTCATTTGGACTTTCAGCAAGCAGTGCTGTGTTGTCAGCCAACTGCATGTTATTGATTCACACACCACCTATCTGCATGCCTATCTCCTCATCCTCCAGGGTTGTTGTTGCTATTATTATTCCAGGAATATATTAACGAGAAGATGCATCCCTGCAACACTCCTATGATTATCTTAAGCTGATCACTTAGTTCTCTACAGCCTTTGACTGATGCAAAAGTATCTTTATAGGCGTTTTCTGGTATTTTTATGATTTTATCTGGGTACCTGTAGAACCCCATTGTTTACCAAAGTACTTTTCCCCAAATGCTATTCAAAGCATCCTGTAATCAGTGTAACAGACATATAAATCTTTTCCAAATTCTTTGTATTTTCCTGTCAGTTGCCTCAAAGTGAAGATCTGATCAATTGTACTCCTGTAAGCTCTGAATTTACACTGGTCCTGTGCTATAATTTCCTCTGTTCTACCCTTGATCCTTTGCAGAATAATGAAGAAGAAAGTCTTACTGTTATGACAAAACAAACTAATGCCCCTATAATTTGAGCAGTCTAGCTTGTCCTTCTTGTGTATGAGAATTATGACTGAGTGCCCAATTCCATGGGAATCACTTCATGTTCCCATATCTCTCTGAAGAGTCTGAGAAACTCCATAGACCCTGAGCCTATTGTAGCTGCCTCCAGCTCCTGCATGATGTTATCCTCTTCTGGGGCCTTCCTGCATTTGGCTCTCTTAATAGCTTCCTCTATCTTGCTTCTGTCAATATTTAATATTTCCTAAACTTCTGTACTGTTTCAGTGGCTGCTGAAATGTTTCTCATTGTAGTCTACATTGACAGCATTAGGGTCATTTTAAAGGGTGTCAAATCTTTGCTTTACTTCCTTCTGTTCTGTTAGAAAATGACCCTGCCCATCTTTAATTGCCCGAATCTGAGGAACAAATCTGGCAGTTATCTGTCTGATATCTTCATAGACAAGATGTGTTTTATTTTGGAGTCTAGCCTCTCCAACCTCTTTGTAGATAGATACCTTGTATATGCACTCTAGCCTCATTTGCTCTTCTTTATATTTCTATACACAGAGAGTTGGGGTGTTTTGTTGCCTGTGGATTGCCTCTTTGTTTGTTCTTTACCTTCACAGAATAAAATGGAATACTTCCCTTAGAAAATGATCAATAAGAATCTTATGAATGGATCTATAGTGGTAGAAAAGAAGGGAAAATAAATGTGTGTATTGAGACAAATTGACGTAGAAGTGAGGTGTGAAAAAATATGTTTTGTAAGAACACATTTGGAACATGATAGAGGTATGGGAAGAGATGTGTATAGTTGAAATACCAGGAAATTCTCATCCAGGATGACTTGTCAGATCTTGAAACATAACTACATGTTCACTAATCTACATAAGGGTGGTGTTGTGCCATATGGATCAAAACATGCTGAATTCTTTTCTTTACTCTCCCTTCCTCTGACATGTGTTCTGTTTTCTAGGTTATAATAAACATGTTCCTGAGGAAACTCCTACAAGTATGTATCAGTTTAACACAACCTAAGTATTGGTCCATATTTTTATCCTCATTTCCAAAGGAAAGGTGACCCAAATACAAACCAGTCTTTTCAGAGAGGCCGAAGTCTCAATGGAAGCAAGATGCAGAACCAACCTCTCAGTGGTGCTGCTCGTCATAGTTCACTGGGTGCACTAAATAAAATAGTAATCAATGAAATGCACCATAGATATGCTCACAAGTCAATCTGATGAAGCAATTCTTCAATTATTAGCCTCATGTGTGACTTCTTAACAAGCAATATTAGGCACAACAAGTGTCCAGTCATCAGTTGCAACCAGGACACAGACAGTACACATGCAACCATGGGTAGTAATGCAATATAAATCATCCCAGTATGAGTTTCAGAAAGATGCTACTAGAAATCCAGATAGAGAACATCTTTACAAAGTACATCCGATGAGTTTACAGGAAGTTAGTGCTGGTCATAAGCTAAGACATGTGCTAGAATGAAGAGAGAATGAATGTGAGGAATGCTAAGAGAAGGTGATTTGTTTGCTGTGGGGTTAAGGAGTTGTGTAGGTTCTGACCTGATTGGACATGTTGAGATGCAGTGGGAGAATAAAAGAGGAGCCAAACTGGAGAGAACAGGATTTCACTCTGGCATCAAGCAAATTCTCAGTTGTATCTCTCCTCTTCCTGCAGCTATAGGACACCATCTAAAAACCCTCACAATCAACTTCACCATAACCAACCTTCCATATTCATCAAATATGAGCAATGGCTCAGCTCTGTTCAACTCAACTGAGACTTTCCTCCACTACCTGGTGAGAACCTTATCCCAGCAGCCTGACAGAGATTGATCCCATAGGCCCCCTTTGTCCAACACCTGCTTTCGTTTCCCTTCTCCTCCATCCACAGCTTGGACACGTGTTCCAGAATGACTCCTTCAACTCCAGTTGCAGACTGGATTCTCTCAGGTGAGTCTTTTTTCTGTCCCTTTGCAAGGAATGAACACTGCTCTTGTTACCATTCTCATTCCTCCTCCTTTTTTCTGGTTCTCATCTACATTATGACTTTTCTAAAGGCTCCACACTCCTCTCTTTCCAGGCCTAAGAAGAATGGAACAGCCACTGGTGTGGATGCCATCTGTGCCTACTACCATGACCCTGCACATCCTGGGATAGACATCAAAGAGTTGTACACAGAGCTGAGAAATCTAACTCAGGAAATCACCCAGCTGGGTAATTACTCCCTGGACAAGGACAGTCTCTATGTCAATGGTGAGTGATCTCTGTGATTTGCTATGGAATGTCTCAGGCATCCTTTATTTTTTTTACTTCTCTCAGTATTATTGCTAGTAGAGTCTACACCAGTTCATCCTATTTTCTTAGTACCTTGTTTCAAGAAGCACACACACACAAACTGAAGAAAAATGTGGGTGTTATATTTATATGAATTATTTCCTTTGTTCTTCCTTCTTCTGTTTTTCATTCCTCTAACATGCCTACTATTTTATAGGTTATAATAAGCCTGGTCCTGAAGAACCTTTGACAAGTAAGTACCAATGTAGCACGACCTAGATATTGGTCCATATATTTTCTTCTCATTTTCAATGAAGAATTCACCCAGATAAAAACCAATCCCTTCAGAGAGGCCAGAGTCTCAATGAAATCAAGATATGTAGTCATTGGTCTCTTCTTGAAACTCAACTCTAATATTAGGTTTCTTAATTTCCATATTCTTAGCAGTTGGATAAAAGTATTTGTAAAATGTAACTCACAGAATTATGGGACTTAGTTTAGATGGCTACAGTGTAATTATTGTCCTGTAAAAAGAAGTATCCCCATCAGGAACTTAATTATCATGCTGCAAATTTGGATGACTAATTAACTGTTTTTCTAAATTGCCTTCTCTCTCATATCTTTTCTAATTTTTATTAGTTCCCTTTGAATATTATATCAAGAATTTTTGTTGCTATTGCAACATCTTACCAGACCAGTTATTATTGTAATTCAAAAAGTTAGCAGTTGAGCAAGACTGGTAATTGCTTTCCTCCTCTGGTAGCATGCATAGCACCTTCCAGCACTCTGAAAGCCAGCCAGAAGGGATGAAACTTCCAGCTGAGTGCCAGTTTACCTCCCCATGTGCTATGGCTCAAGTGCCTGGTATCTTCAGCAATACAAATCTAACCAAGGAGTTCTGCAGGGTAACCAAATGCAATGGCAATAGTCAGCTCTGTTTGGAAATCACTGGTACATCACATGCTGATAGCTCCAAAAGGAATAATCTGTTCCTAGTACTAGACTTGTATTTGTCTTCCAGTGGTGTCTAGTGGGGCATTGCTGCCCATTATATAGCAACTCCATTTAGTCTTCTTATATGTGTGCTTGCATATACTTTAGGAAACTTCTTTAGTATTAGAGTTCTCCATGACAATTTGTGATGTCCTTAGTGTTCAATATTTCTCCCTACATTCCCCTTCTACTTACTCATTTGACTAGGTACCTCCTTCCCCATTCTGTCCTTCCAATTTGCTTTTCCCCTTTCCCCCTTAATGTCATCATATACTATCAAATGAAATATATACATCTAAAGATTCAAAATCAACGTCTACAAATGATAGAAAATGTACGACTTCTCCTATCTTACTCCAGATTACTTCACGCATATTGATTGTTTTCTACCTCATCCATTAATATTCACATTTCATAACTCTATCATTTTTATTTAAATTTCTATGTAATGTATTTTGTTCATGTGATTCTCTCCTCTAGCTCCTTTCAGTTCCTTCCCACTTCTCTACTCATACAACTTCATGTTCTTTCTCTCTCTTCGTTTTTCTCTCCATCCCCCAAGTCCACAAAAGACAAAAGTAAAATCCAAACAAACATACAAAAATCAAGAAGACAAATTAATTCAAAATAGAAGAAAATGAAACAAAATCTCATGCCAAATTAAAAACTGAAAAAAATAGGGTGTCCATTTTCTGTTGTTCTACTATTTCTGGGCATGTGATCCGTCCTGCTCTGGGTGGGGTTAATACACCAGGTGACACTCCTTTGGTGAAAATTGATTTTCCCTTCCTTAGCTGGTTTTAATTGCAAACAGTTTCTTGGTAAGGGGTCTACTTCCATTTTTCAGTGCTGTAATTTCCTGGTTTGAACTTGTACAACTCAAAGCACTGTAGATGACTCTAAGGTTATAGTATCTTCCAGATACAACAGGACTGGTACACAGATGAACTCACAGAGACTGTGGCAATTGTATTGTTGTTACCAGCTTAAAAATATTGTTGAAATGTACCATATTTTTTATTATCTGTCCACCAGTTTGTGGGCATCTAAACTGTTACAGTTTGCTAGATATTGTGAATAGAGCAGCAATAAACATGGACATGCCTGTCTTTCAATAGTAATGTACGGAATCCTTAGATTGTATGCCACAGAGTGGTAACATTGGATCTTAGAGTAGATTCTACCATTTTCGGGACCTTCACACTTATATCTGTAGTGGAGACACCCCCAAATAAAAGCTAATTATTATTCCTGTTTCCCCACATCTGCCAGCACTTGTAATCATTTCCTTCTTGTATGTTTTTTTGTTTCTTCTTTGTTTGAATCTTAGCCATTTTGATGGGGATAAATAAAATTTTAAAGAAATTTTAAGTTTTTTTACTGATACATAGATGTGTTGGTCATTTAAAAAATATTTCTGCACAGTTCGTATTTCATTTTGTGAGAATTATCACAGCCTTGCCACAATTGTTATTGGGTTGATTTTTAATGGATAAATTTTAATTTATTTATATGTTCTTGACACTAACCCTCTGTCAAATATTTATCTGATACATTTTTTGTCATTCTGTTTGAAGCTAATTTGTTCAAACAATGCTATCTTTTTCTCTAGAGAAGTTTTTTTTTTTAATTCACAAGGACATGTGTATTCATTGTTAGTCTTTAAGTCTATGCTATCCAGGTTCTGTCCCCCCCAAAAAACTGTTTCTTATGCCAGTAAGTTCAAGCACATTCCCCATTTTCTCCTCAACTATATCAAGGTGCCAGGATTTATGTAAAGCTTGTTTAATCATTTGGAATTGAATTTGGGGTGTTCAGTGGCCTCTCATCATTACTTTTCCAGCTGTCCATTCTTCCATTTTTCTAGCTATTCCTACACTCCTCACACATTTCCATCAATCCATCTATCCACTGACCCATCCATCCATCCATCCATCCATCCATCCATCCATCCATTTGTCTATCCATCCATTCATCCATTCTTCTACCTATTCTAATAATTTTTATTAGTTTCTTCTCTTTTCTTTTTTTATGCATGATTGTGTTTATTCCCTCATTTACATTCACTGACAAACTGAAACTACTGTCCATATTCCAGGTCATATTACATCTTTTCTTTATACATTCATACGT